GGGGGTTGATAGAGTCCTTCGAACTTGTCATAAAGTCTGTGTTTTATAGTTATACGATCTAGTCCGTGCAATCCGGTCAATCAACGGGTATTCTATCTTTATTATATAATAGTGTAACTAGTTACGTAACTTTATTATATAATAGTGTAACCAGTTACGTAACTTATTGCAGCTGGCCTTTTTTAATTTAATAGTTATAAGATATGTTATAGATGAATGTATTATAAGTTTGAAGGTCGGATCTCAAATCCTCCACTTTCGAAGTTATTATTATGAGAATACTGCTCCTTAAACGTACCTCTTAAAAATTAGGAGATAAGCTTTAATAAAACGACGCCGATTCTTTTTTTCATCCCATAGAAAAAGGCTTTTTGCTTAAGATAAGCATCGGAGAGTCACAGACCCATGCTGCAAACAGCGGCGCCACCCCCCGCCGACTTCCATCACGCAATAAAACCATTTTCACAACATGGACATGGGAAGGTCTCCTTGTTGTGAGAAAGGAACCTGGACCAAAGAAGAAGACGACCTGAAGACGACCTGCTCATATCTTACATCAAAGCTCACGGGGAGGGCTGTTGGAGATCGCTCCGAAAAGCCGCCGGCCTTCTCCGTTGTGGCAAGAGTTGCCGCCTCAGATGGATTAACTACCTCCGCCCTGACCTCAAGCGAGGTAATTTCACCAGTGAAGAAGATGAAATTATAGGGCTGCTTACCTTAACAAGGTGGAAAAGGCTGCCGGAAAAAGAAAATAAAAAAAGAAACGGTGTCGTTTTATTAAACCTTACCTCCTAACTTTCCTGAGATAAGACGAACGAGTAGTATTCCTTATTATTATTGTTATTAATGTTAAAAAACAATTTACTTAAAAATAATTTTAATATAAATAAATTATACATCAAATTCTAGAATAATAATAAACAAATTATTAATATAAAGATATCGTTTTATTAAACCTTACCTCCTAATTTTTTTGAAATAAGACGTACGAATAGTATTCCTTATTATTATTGTTATTAATGTACAAAAACAATTTA